AAGTCACCCGTGCCCTGTTATTCCAGATGAATATTCTCCGATATTATTGGAGTGATGCTGTTCTTACTACTTGTCATCTTATTAATTGTATGCCATCCTCTGTATTAAATGGACAAAGTCTATATTCTATCCTTTTTCCTCATAAGCCCTTATTTTCCCTGACTCCTAAGGTCTTTGGTTGTGTCTGTTATGTTCACAATTTGGGTCTTGGGTTTGACAAACTTGACCCTCAAGTTACCAAATGTGTATTTCTTGGCTACTCCCGCACGCAGAAGAGGTATCGTTGTTACAGTCCATCTCTGCACCGATACTTTACTAGTGCCGATGTAACGTTTGAAGAATCTGTTCGATACTTTTCAGCACCTTCTCAGCCTTTGGATCTGGACTTTGGGTTATCTCCTGTACAACTATCTCTTTCCTCATCTTCAGATATTCCGCTGCTCACTGTGTTACCATTTACTTTACCTCTCTGTGTCTACTCTCGCCGTCCTCGCCCATCGACTGAGGTGCCTGTACCGTCTTCCTTACCGCCTTCTGATCCTGGTACATCAGGTAATTTAGACTCTTTACCTATTGCTCTTCGCAAAGGAACTCGTTATGTGTTACTAATCATCCCATTTCTCATTTTATTTCATACGATGCCTTGTCTCCGGTCTTCTTCTGTTTTAATTCCCAATTATCTGCTATATTTATTCCTTAGCATTTACAGGATGCTTTATCTGATTCGGGTTGGAAAAAAGCTATGGAAGAGGAGATGGATGATTTACATCATAGTGGGATTTGGGATCTTGTTCATTTACCTTCTGGTAAACGAGCTGTTGGCTGTCGTTGGGTGTATACTATTAAATTTTATCCAGATGGTTCTATGGAGCGTCTTAAAGTCGGACTTGTTGCAAAGGGCTTTACTCAGACTTATGGTGTTGATTAGAGAAGATTTTTTCTCATGTTACCAAAATTTTCTCTATTCGTATCTTAATTTCTTTGACAGCTAATCTTAATTGGCCCTTGTTTCAGTTAGACGTCAAGAATGCCTTCTTACATGGTGACTTGGTTGAAGAGGTATACATGGAGTAGTCACCTGAGTTTATTGCTCAAGGGGGAGTATGGTAAGAGTGTATGTTGGTTAAAGAAACCTTTGTATGGTTTGAAGTAGTCACCGAGGGCATGGTTTGGTAAGTTTTCAGATGCAATTTTAGAGTTTGGTCTTCTTTGATGCCAGACAGATCATTCTGTGTTTCATAGACAGACAAATGCTGGATATGTCTTATTGGTGGTCTATGTAAATGATATTGTGATTACTGGAAATGACTTTGAGGGGATTGCCAAGTTAAAAATATTCTTGCAAGGTCGTTTTCATACTAAGGATTTGAAAAAATTCAGGTATTTCTTAGGTATTTAGGTGGCTCGATCTAAACAGGGTATTTGTTTATCCCAGAGGAAATATGTACTTGACATGATTGAGGAAGCATGTTTGTTGGGTGGTAGACCGATTGATGTTCCTATAGATCCGAATCATAAATTATTAATAGATGATGGTACTTTGTTTGAGAATCCGGGTCGGTATCGTAGATTGGTTGGGAAGCTTAATTATCTCACTGTTATTCGACCGGATATTTTCTATGAAGTCAGTATAGTAAGTCAGTTCATGGGATATCCTAGAGTACCATATTGGGAGGCAGTTACTTGTATTTTGCGATATCTCAAACGAGCTCCTGGACTTGGACTATTATATTGAGTTAATGGACATCTTAAAGTGAAAAGTTTCTCAGATGCTGATTGGGCTGACTCTCTTTCTGATCGGAGATCAACCACTGGTTATTGTACTTTCTTAGGAGGGAATGTTGTCCCATGGAAAAGTAAGAAACAACCCGTGGCAGCAAGATCCAGTGCTAAGGCTGAGTATAGGGCAATGACACATACGATGAGTGAGTTGACTTGGTTATTAAACTTCTTCCAGGAAATTGGGTTTCCAGTTCAACTTCCTTTACAGTTGTTCTGTGACAATCAGACAACTATCCATATCGCTGCCAATTTGGTGTTTCATGAGAGAACCAAGCATATTGAAGTTGGTTGTCACTTTATTCGGGACAAGATAGTAATTGGAGAGATTACAACTCCATTTGTGAAATCTGAAGACTAGCTTGTAGATATGTTTGCCAAAGCATTGAGTCGTACACGTCTTACAACTATTTGTTCCAAGCTTGGATTATATGATATATATAGTCTACCTTGAGGGGGAATGTTAAGAATAGTAGGATAGTATGTGTAAATTGTTAATAGTAAGAGGATGTATGTGTAATTTTTATTATTGTATGTTAACTATAAATACAAGTGATGTATGAGAGATTGGTTAAGTTTTTAACCTCTTTCTTTGTCTCTAATATTATGTTAATCCTCCAAACTTAACACTAACAAATAACATTGTCAACTGTGACTAGGTAGGGTAATTGTGCCCATCAAACTTCCTTGTCGTATTCTGTAGGTTGGCATTTTCAGTATGAAGTCCAATCTAACTTGCAACACTTTTTGACTGTTTCTGAGATATTGTGCAAGATTCTTATGTATCTAATATGATTTTTACCTCTTTTTATTGGCTAGATATACGCTGAATGGCTCAAAAAACCAAAAAATAACAAGAACCACAACGTCCCCGATTGGATAACAATACACGTTACACAAATCTCGCGAGTCAACACCTAAATTGGCTTTAACTTTGTCATATCTCGAACATATTGGTCTAACTTGGAGTCAACTCAGTCGAACGATATGAATTAGAATTGGTTCGATATTGTGAAATATTGTGCAAAATCTCAAAAAGCTTGGGCACATCGCCAAAATCCAAAGAAAAAGGGTAAAAGAGAAAAAAATACCAAGACACACTTTTGTAAAAGTTTTGAACAAGTTATATAATTTCTTCTTGTTCTTCATCACTGGGAACCAGTCAAGCAGCATGCAACAAAAGTCATAAATCCAGCCATACCCCTCTTTTCTACTGATCGACTATGCCAGCCTTCTTTGCCTTTGGTTTTAGATTTTGTCTGCCCCCCCCCTCTCTATGTGTCCCAAAGGTGCAATTAACTGAGAATCAAAAGACTCTATTTTGGTGGCTCCCAAACCCAAAGTTACTTTGTTAATTAAAATCCTTAGTCATTTCTTTTTTTTTTTTTTTGGTTACTTTGGGGTAATTTTTTTCCCCAGGTGACTTTTGGGTAATTTCTGAGTTGGTCTATTACTCTATAACTTTTGGTTAAATTTTCTTTTGAGTAAGTTTTTTAACTTCTATGCAAGTCTTTGTATTAGTTTTGAGTAAATTTTGTTTTTGATATACCTTAGGATTATGTTTGCATTTTAATTTTTTGAATATATAAAAACTAAATGCTTGCATTGGACATTGATAATGAAAAATATTTTCGGTAGTGTTGTTATAATTCATTTACACTATGTTTAATATGTTAGATAATGTATTTTAGATATATGATGTAGGGATGATGATATTTATATTTTTTAAAATTTTCAAGATTTTTTCTTAATTTTTTGGGCCATCTATCTAGTGTTTTGAGCATTTTAGCTGATATCATGTCGTGCCACTGCAACCAATGTGTATCAGCACACTCTGAGTCAATGGTCAATACTGCGACCTTAAACCATGATACTAGATGATGGTATCCACATCGAATGCCTGAGCTATAAGACCTAAAATTACTGGCAGTCGACAATTTTTGTAAATTGTACTCAACAATGTATGTGGGATTTGATTATGTGTTTTAATGTTGAAAATCCGAAAATTCTAAAGCACAAAATATATTGGGTAAATTACATCTACCTCCCTTAAGGTTCGGTCATATAACAATTAAACCCCTTTTTGTTTGAAAAATAACACAATAACACTAACCTTCCTTCCGCATTGGTTATTGGTAATAGATTCCCTCTTCTGTTAGGAGGTCGTTAATAATTTGATGATGTAAGCAATTAATATTTCTAAAATGCCAATATTACCCTTCTAGATCCCAAATACATTTAAACTTCCATTCAAACACATCCTAATTTTATAAACAAATTATATTTGTTTCCAAACAATTCCAATTATTTCTACTCTCTCTCTCACGACCTTAATGCAATCCATAAGATGTTCAAAGAAATACAAATTCAAAGACGTGATAAACTATGGAATGTGGCTTGTTATAAGGTTGAGACTCACATGGACCTTGCATAATCATATCTGAGTCATATTTTGCAATTACTTTGAGTTAGGTTGTTGGTATTTCGTTTTGTGTCTTTTTTATGTTTTCTAGAGTCCATGCTATTTTCGTAATTTTCATGTGCTGTTACGGGTCATTGTATGACCCATGAGTCAGCTTTTGGGTTGAATTCTAGTGTTGAATATTTCTAGAGTTTACTTTGTTAGTTTGTACATATAGTTAATTTAGAGTCTTTGAAGTTCTAAAGTATTTGGACTCTAATCTTTTAAGATTTGGAGATATTTGGAGGTTTATGTATAGATATGTAACGTTTTAATTAATGGAGAGAGTGATATTTACCAGAAAATTTCAGCAATTAAATGCTTTTAGGATTGTGTGATGCATTTCAAATCCTAGGTGTGATGCCTAGGAACCCTAGGAGTGATTTCTAGGTCTCTTCTTCTTTTCTTATTCTTTTTTCCATTTTTATGCAATTATTTAAGTTCTAAAGTAGTCTACACAGATCAGTACCCCTTTTCCAAACAATTCATCAATCCATAACACATAAAGTAGTACATCCAACCTTCAAAAATATTTTTTTACAGGGGATGTTCACAACCTTGAATACTGTTCACAGCCATGAAAGTGTTGGTTTTGTTGGGTTCACTAATCCTACATCAAACCTCCTCCTCCACCTACCCCTTTCTCTCTCATCACCTCTGCCACCCTAGCCNGATGTTCACAACCTTGAATACTGTTCACAGCCATGAAAGTGTTGGTTTTGTTGGGTTCACTAATCCTACATCAAACCTCCTCCTCAACCTACCCCTTTCTCTCTCTTATCACCTCTGCCACCCTAGGCACCACCACATTATCTCCTCCATGGCATCCACGTCTCCTCACCATCATCCTAAACAACACAACATAAGAGACCCCGAAGCCTTGCTGTTGCTGAACACCTACCATCCTTGTTGATCTTTGCCGAAAAACCCCACCACCCTTCGACCAAGCTGCCCAACCCCCATCCTCGAAACCCCGATACAACCCAAACCCCTGCAAATACAACATCACCCATCACCACACCACACCACACCACACCACACNGCTGCCCAACCCCCATCCTCGAAACCCCGATACAACCCAAACCCCTGCAAATACAACATCACCCATCACCACACCACACCACCCCACACCACCCCACTACCTTAATTTTATCCAATTGTACTAAATTGCAAGTGGTTGGTGTGCCTCAAACCTTACATTCCATGAATCGCAAAACCTCTACTTATATTTTCCTATGCATTTGGCTATGAACCCATTTTTTTAGTGCTCTATTGACAATTTTCTGTGAAAAGCAAGTGATATTTATTGATTGATCACCGACAATTTGGTGTGCTTCAAACCATAAAGGCACTGAACAAAAGAGGGTGGTGGTGGGTCGCTCAAGGTTCAGTGCCTTTATGGTTTGAAGCTCCCCATAAACGTATTCTCTCCCCACTACCTACCACCAATCTAACACCTTGGAAAAACTTCGTTAATCCTTGAGAAATGAATTTCCATGGAGCTCGAAAACTCCTCTTTTCAACCACATTAGCATCCCATCGATTGGTATGTAACCTTTATTTGCTCTTGATAACTAAATGTCAAAAAGAATTTGTTTCCAAGGGAAATTGCCACAACCACTTACCCACTAATGCAATATTTCTTGCCTTCACATTGGCAATTGAGAGAGCACCTTTATCCCTCGACTTAGAAACCAACCCCCATTGGACCAAGTGATCCTTTCTCCCTTCCCCACTATCTTCCTACAAGAAATCTCTCATTATTTTTTCAATTCTCATAGCTACTCCCCGAAATTTTAAATAAAGATAAAAAGTATGTGGGATAACTAGCTAGAACTGACTACACCAATGGGAGCATTCCTCCTTTTGATGTACAAACCTTCTTCTACCCATCTAATATTTTTTCCACTTTTTCAACCACTGGATCCCAAAAAGACAGTGATAATGGATTCCCAGCCAATGGTAATCCCAAGTACTTCAAAGGCCACTCACCTACATCATCACCCAAAATACCAGCCATCCAATTGATCTTTGCATAATCTGAATTTATACCCACAATATCACTTTTTTTCATATTCACATTCAATCTTGAAACCAAGCTAAACAAGTCGACAATTTTCTTAAAATTTTAGAACTTTTTCCTCCTCTCCTAATGAAAAAAAATAGTTCACACTATAAATGAAGAAATGAAATTCTATCTCTTCTCACAATGAAACCTACAACATTACAATCCTTAAGAAAAGTCCTTTGACACTCAAAAATAGTCACTAAGAGACTCTTAATCTTAATGATAAGACTTTTGCAATGATTTTATAAAAAGATTAGATACTGAACTAATTGACCTAAATCTCTCATTTTCATGGACTTATTTTTTTTGGAATTATTAAACAAATGAACGTCGAATTGGTAGTTGCATTAATCACACCATTCTGAAAAAATTCCCTGAAAATTTTAATTAAATCATCTTTAACTATTTTTGAACAATCCTAGTACATAGCTAAAGTGAAACCATCTGGGCCTGGGGCTTTGTCATGACCACACTCAAACACAGCCTTCCTCACTTCTTCCTCAAAAAGTGTCTCTAACTATCTCGATTTTACATCATCAATAGGACTCCATTACAGTCCTTCCACTATTGGTCTATCATCTCCCATAGATGATTATAACTAAGTGAAAAACTCAACAACCTTACTTTCAATCATCCCCTCCTTTTCTATAATCACCCATTATCCAACTCCAACTTATCAATAAACTTCTTCTTTTTTTCTCCCATTTGCAATTCTATGGAATATCTTAAAGTCATTATCCTCTTTTTTTAACCATCTCACTCTAGCTTTTTTGTCACCAACTAATCTCTTTCTTAAAAATCACTTGTTTAAACCGATTTTGTAACTCCCATCTCTCTTTCCTCAAATTTTCATTTAGTGAAACCGATGTCCTCTAACACTTCCTTGTTCCAACTCTTCACTTTTTGTTTCACAAAGTCTCACTTTTTCATATATTTAAAACCTTTCCAACCCTGAAAACTTATTTTCTCCCACCACTTTCTAAAAAGTCCTCTAAAAGTACAGTGTTCTAGCCACATATTTTGAAATCTAAAAGGACACTGACCCCATCTAACGTGAGATGAATCCAACAAAATTGGGCAAATGATCTGATACAATTCTCAAAAGAACCTCATGCCTTACTCTTGGGAGACATTCCTCCTACTATGGTGAAACAAAAATCTATCCATTTTATTACAAATTGGATTTTCTCTAAAATTTGACCAAGTAAAATTACCATTCCCCAAGGGTGGACCGTGGATCTTTCAGTCTAGTTGCTCTAATGAATGTATCAAAGTTCCTCGTACTCTTATTCAGCCTTGTACCATTCAACTTTTGTGAAAAATACGTTATAACATTAAAATCTCCACCTACACACCATTGGAGACTACAAAGGCTATACAACCTACCAATTCCTCCCACAATCTACTTCTCACACTCTTGGACAATTCAGTCCATACACTACGGTTAACCACCATTCTTCTCCCTTATTAAACTTAATTTTGATTGATATTGAAAACTTGCCTTCAATCGATTCCTCCACTTTCATAGTTGTCTCATCCCATATAAATCAAAATACTGCCAAATCTACTTTCCTGAACCTAGCTTCCCATATATTTTTTATCAAACTTCTTTCAATTTCTTCTCATTTAGTTTCTTGTAAAATAATAACATCAGGAAGCATCATTTCTTTAATTGATCTTCTTTTCTCCTTATAACCCAGTCCCCTCACATTCTAACTAATTATTTTCATAAAGAATTCACTACACCCTCCCCACTCCTACTTGTCAAACCTCAAGTATAATTGACTCCAAATAGTAAACTTCTAAGTTCCCTCATCCCTTTATTTTTTTCTTAGTTTCTCCCCTCCCCTTTTCTTTTTACCTTTCCTTTTATTGTGGACCAAAGACAAGTCAATTTTCTCTAGAATTTTTTTTTTTAGAATATGCCATTTCTCTTCATCAGAAAGGTAAAACCTATTCTCCCCTTTAACTTCCTCCTCTTCACACTCCTTACCTCTGAGATAAAAGGTAAACTCTCTTGGTAAAGGCAATCAACATCCACAATAACTTGGACTAAAGGGTCTCTAAGAACTCAATCCCCCACCACGTTTTCATTCCTAATACACACCAATGAATTACGTACCTCCTTCTATTCCACTGATATACCAGAATTGGCTAATTTTCTCACCCCATTAGAAACATTACCACCACAAATAGACAAGGGAATCCCTCCCCTCCCCTCCTAATCCCTTCCCCCACTAATAGTATTTTGTTCCCTCTTAAATAATGGTTGAACTAACTCAACAAGGAATCAATTGCTGTTTTAGGTACTATTGAATTATCGTCAGAGATAGCTACCTCATCACACTTATTATCAGCTTCCTTTTCGAACTCTGAGTATTCCTTTGACCTATCTCAAACTTCATTAATATTTAAGTTATCAATACAATGACTTTGTAAATCCCTTAGAGTAAACCCATAATCCTCTTTGCCTTCTGGATATTCTTTTTGTGCTTCTTGGGACCCGATAAAATCACTCTAATGAACATCAAATGATTTTGCGCTTCGAATCGCTTCTTGTAACTCCTGTTGTAGAGGAACAACAGGTGCTTTCCCCTTCAACCACTTCGATGAAAATTGCTAAGCCCTAGACGAGGTACCCATTTCGTGATACTCATCAGAGCACAATAGAATATTATTGATGTCTTCGAAGCTGCGTACCTCATCATTGACTCTCCTTCTCTCTTCGAACTTGGCTGATGCCTCAAATTCTTCCTTCATTTCGCATATAAGGGTTTTACCCTCTTCCAAATTACTCGGATCCAAAGCTGACATCGATTGCATCTCCTCATCTTCCCCACCAAAAGACTTTATAGAACCCTCTCATCTTTCTCCATCTTCTCGTCTGCTTTGAAGATGAGATTTAACTAATGAGAGCAAAATCGACATCTGAAGCTATAAACGGGTTTTTGGACCGAATATAATGGATCGGGGGAGCTTTAAACTTCAAAAAATCCAAAATTTTGGCTTTAAAATGGCCCACCCATAATGGGCTCTTCACATTGATATTCATTGGTATATCAAACAATCCAAAAAAGATTTGGACCCTATTAACAGGCCCAACATCATTTCCAGTATCCTTGTTTGAACCAGCAGGCACCTCGTCTATAACACGACCTACAAAATAGATGTAATTATGCGTAAGCTTCCATCCTCCTTTTTTGAATTTGAATTAAACTGATCAGCGTGGGATTGTCATTAATTGCTGAATTAACTAACCCCTTTACCATGGGATTCACCTTATTTCATACCGGCCCAAGTTTCGGAAAAGGTGAGACCTTTTCCATCCCAGAAACCTCTCCACTTCTTTGAGATGCATGATATCTCTGTGCAACCTTTCTGTATGTAACGCCACTGAACGGAACCAGATCTATGCCATCATCTTCAACCTCTGGCCTGTTGTACAATTTTTTGGTAATACCATACAATTTTCTTAGTTTCAGATGATCACTAACATTTCCCAATCTTGAAAGAGCCCTAATTGTAATCTGGAAACTTTTCCCTTGCAATTCAACAGTTAACAATGAAAGAATGATCCCTTTTCCACATCTACCCACTTTAATTTTTGCTTGGAACAGATTTTGCATAGCCAAAGTGCCACTATCAACCTCTACAAAGCCACCTGAACAATCTCCTATCTTCTTAAAATCTTCTTCATTCCATAAATGGAATGGTAACCCTTCGCCTCCTAACCATCAACCCAGAAAAGATTTCTTGTTCCTTCCAAAATTGGACTCTGGAGACCATTTGGAGAACCTGATAGAGCCCCACTCCTTCAATTGAGACCTCCTCCACACTATATATGTTCAAAGCGTGTTCCTTATTTTCACAGAATAAGGCAGCCTTATCAACTTGGGATGGGAACAACTCAGCTTCCACATGTAGTTTATTCAACAATGCTTCCCGAATCCACCTCCAAGGAATAAAGATACTCTTCCAGATCACATCACAACTCCATTTTCCAAAAACAGAGGAACTCATGCCACCGTCTTTCTGCAACACTATTTCGGTACCCTTTTTCCCATTAACTTCTCCCTTGTTCTCATATTTGCTACCACTTAACAGACCCACCTCCATATTCAAAAAAACTCCCTCAACCCTTGCCATCATCACTTTGAGAAATAGCTATAAAAGCAATCTTCTTTGATAATCATTGCTTCAACCCATAACTGATAATCATTGCTTCTAAATTTCCTGAAGAACGATGCCATACCACAACTACTACTTGCCTCCTCAATAACACTGCATTACCATGAGGCACCTCCCAATCCAACAGTGATAGAAAAGTGTGCATTCCGAGATCTTTCAGCAACTTCAATCATATCTCCCCAAGAATCGGCATTCACCTCCACCCAAAAAAATCTTCTGATCTATCTTCGCTTCATTCCTTGGATGTTTGAATCTCTTGCTACCAGGACCAGCCATCTTTTGGTATATAGCAAACTATTTGATAGGGGACAATCATCTAGGAAGCCATTTGTGTTGATGGATTTCTACAGCTATGATTCCATCACACACGCCATACCAATTTGATGTTTAGATAGATGGGCTTAAGGAAACTCTTAGCGTTAGATCCAGGGGCAGTGAAAAAAAGGCTTCTTTGCATTCATTTTAAGCCACTACAATCTCACCTAAAAATAATAACATCAGTCCTTTATATAGGGAACTCCAAAATACCAAATTGAAAGATTCCTAATCAAACTTTGCTACTAAAAAACAAAATAAAAAAAAATCTTCAAATAACTAAAAATTCCAAAATAATCCAACCCGATCCTCATTAAAGACACTATGTGAAGGGTGTGCTTGCCTCCTCTCCAGGGTCTTGTCTTTTCCTCTGTTTCCTTAAGTAAAGGCAATGTTTGTAAGCGTCAAAATTATTTTCTTGTTCTAGTTGCTCTCTGGAAAATGTTGTAATCTGTTGATTTCCATTGTACAGGTCAGCATCTCGGCATTCAAAAGCGTCCCGTGATGCTTATGTGATAGGAGATCACTTGTCTGCCCAACAATTTTCACTAAAGGCTCAGGAAGAATGGAAGGCTGTTGAAAGGCTTAATGCTAAGGCAGCTAAAGAAATACTAAGTATCAGGAATTTTGAAAATGATGTGTGGAAATTGGACTTGCATGGTCTTCATGCAATGGAAGCAGTTCAAGCCCTACGGGATCACTTGCAGATGATTGAGTCCCAGGTGCCACTAAGTCGGTTTGTATCACCTAAAAGAGATGATGCAAAATCAGGCTTTCTACATTCTGCATCTCTCAAGTCTTTGAGTCATATGGATGTCCAGAAGTTGGATAAACAAGAGGCATCATATAGGCACAGACCAACATCATTAGAAGTCATAACAGGTATGATCCTTTATTTGATGTGAATTCCACACATACGGATAAGTTACTATATCATGCTACATATGGAATTGCTCTCTGCTGTTTTTCCACTTGAACACTTTTATGTGTATAGTTGGACTAAAAGTCTTTCGTTCTTTTCTTTTGCTTGTACTTGTATAAGGAGCTGTTGTTCTACTGAACGTTTTAACTATTTTTTCTGCTTGACCAATTGCTTGGTAGTGTACGCATATTAAATGTTTAGATTGAGTTGCATCATTTGATGCATTACATTACAGATCCTGCAAAATCAGTTTTGGTAGTAAACTTCATCTATCCATTGCTCCATGTTGGATGTTGGAGTTTTACCTTCAAGTGATATGTGAAACTCTGCAGAGTTGCGTTCTTTTGTTTGGATGCCCGAATATTGAGACCAAGTATTCTTTGTGGAGATTGGAAAATATTAACCTCAGTACCATAACCCTNGGTGGACCGTGGATCTTTCAGTCTAGTTGCTCTAATGAATGTATCAAAGTTCCTCATACTCTTATTCAGCCTTGTACCATTCAATTTTTGTGAAAAATACGTTATAACATTAAAATCTCCACCTACACACCATCGGAGACTACAAAGGCTATACAACCTACCAATTCCTCCCACAATCTACTTCTCACACTCTTGGACAATTCAGTCCATACACTACGGTTAACCACCATTCTTCTCCCTTATTAAACTTAATTTTGATTGATATTGAAAACTTGCCTTCAATCGATTCCTCCACTTTCATAGTTGTCTCATCCCATATAAATTTAAATACTGCCAAATCTACTTTCCTGAACCTAGCTTCCCACATATTTTTTATCAAACTTCTTTCAATTTCTTCTCATTTAGTTTCTTGTAAAATAATAACATCAGGAAGCATCATTTCTTTAATTGATCTTCTTTTCTCCTTATAACCCAGTCCCCTCACATTCTAACTAATTATTTTCATAAAGAATTCACTACACCCTCCCCACTCCTACTTGTCAAACCTCAAGTATAATTGACTCCAAATAGTAAACTTCTAAGTTCCCTCATCCCTTTATTTTTTTCTTAGTTTTCTCCCCTCCCCTTTTCTTTTTACCTTTCCTTTTATTGTGGACTAAAGACAAGTCAATTTTCTCTAGAATTTTTTTTTTAGAATATGCCATTTCTCTTCATCAGAAAGGTAAAACCTATTCTCCCCTTTAACGTCCTCCTCTTCACACTCCTTACCTCTGAGATAAAAGGTAAACTCTCTTGGTAAAGGCAATCAACATCCACAATAACTTGGACTAAGGGTCTCTAAGAACTCAATCCCCCACCACGTTTTCATTCCTAATACACACCAATGAATTACGTACCTCCTTCTATTCCACTGATATACCAGAATTGGCTAATTTTCTCACCCCATTAGAAACATTACCACCACAAATAGACAAGGGAATCCCTCCCCTCCCCTCCTAATCCCTTCCCCCACTAATAGTATTTTGTTCCCTCTTAAATAATGGTTGAACTAACTCAACAAGGAATCAATTGCTGTTTTAGGTACTATTGAATTATCGTCAGAGATAGCTACCTCATCACACTTATTATCANGTAGCTACTCCCCGAAATTTTAAATAAAGATAAAAAGTATGTGGGATAACTAGCTAGAACTGACTACACCAATGGGAGCATTCCTCCTTTTGATGTACAAACCTTCTTCTACCCATCTAATATTTTTTCCACTTTTTCAACCACTGGATCCCAAAAAGACAGTGATAATGGATTCCCAGCCAATGGTAATCCCAAGTACTTCAAAGGCCACTCACCTACATCATCACCCAAAATATCAGCCATCCAATTGATCTTTGCGTAATCTGAATTTATACCCACAATATCACTTTTTTTCATATTCACATTCAATCTTGAAACCAAGCCAAACAAGTCGACAATTTTCTTAAAATTTTAGAACTTTTTCCTCCTCTCCTAATGAAAAAAAATAGTTCACACTATAAATGAAAAAATGAAATTCTATCTCTTCTCACAATGAAACCTACAACATTACAATCCTTAAGAAAAGTCCTTTGACACTCAAAAATAGTCACTAAGAGACTCTTAATCTTAATGATAAGACTTTTGCAATGATTTTATAAAAAGATTAGATACTGAACTAATTGACCTAAATCTCTCATTTTCATGGACTTATTTTTTTTGGAATTATTAAACAAATGAACGTCGAATTGGTAGTTGCATTAATCACACCATTCTGAAAAAATTCCCTGAAATTTTTAATTAAATCATCTTTAACTATTTTTGAACAATCCTAGTACATAGCTAAAGTGAAACCATCTGGGCCTGGGGCTTTGTCATGACCACACTCAAACACAGCCTTCCTCACTTCTTCCTCAAAAAGTGTCTCTAACTATCTCGATTTTACATCATCAATAGGACTCCATTACAGTCCTTCCACTATTGGTCTATCATCTCCCATAGATGATTATAACTAAGTGAAAAACTCAACAACCTTACTTTCAATCATCCCCTCCTTTTCTATAATCACCCATTATCCAACTCTAACTTATCAATAAACTTATTTTTTTTTCTCCCATTTGCAATTCTATGGAATATCTTAAAGTCATTATCCTCTTTTTTTAACCATCTCACTCTAGCTTTTTTGTCACCAACTAATCNCAACTTATCAATAAACTTCTTCTTTTTTTCTCCCATTTGCAATTCTATGGAATATCTTAAAGTCATTATCCTCTTTTTTTAACCATCTCACTCTAGCTTTTTTGTCACCAACTAATCTCTTTCTTAAAAATCACTTGTTTAAACCGATTTTGTAACTCCCATCTCTCTTTCCTCAAATTTTCATTTAGTGAAACCGATGTCCTCTAACACTTCCTTGTTCCAACTCTTCACTTTTTGTTTCACAAAGTCTCACTTTTTCATATATTTAAAACCTTTCCAACCCTAAAAACTCATTTTCTCCCACCACTTTCTAAAAAGTCCTCTAAAAGTACAGTGTTCTAGCCACATATTTTGAAATCTAAAAGGACACTGACCCCATCTAACGTAAGATGAATCCAACAAAATTGGGCAAATGATCTGATACAATTCTCAAAAGAACCTCATGCCTTACTCTTGGGAGACATTCCTCCTACTATGGTGAAACAAAAATCTATCCATTTTATTACAAATTGGATTTCCTCTAAAATTTGACCAAGTAAAATTACCATTCCCCAAGGGTGGACCGTGGATCTTTCAGTCTAGTTGCTCTAATGAATGTATCAAAGTTCCTCGTACTCTTATTCAGCCTTGTACCATTCAACTTTTGTGAAAAATACGTTATAACATTAAAATCTCCACCTACACACCATTGGAGACTACAAAGGCTATACAACCTACCAATTCCTCCCACAATCTACTTCTCACACTCTTGGACAATTCAGTCCATACACTACGGTTAACCACCATTCTTCTCCCTTATTAAACTTAATTTTGATTGATATTGAAAACTTGCCTTCAATCGATTCCTCCACTTTCATAGTTGTCTCATCCCATATAAATCAAAATACTGCCAAATCTACTTTCCTGAACCTAGCTTCCCATATATTTTTTATCAAACTTCTTTCAATTTCTTCTCATTTAGTTTCTTGTAAAATAATAACATCAGGAAGCATCATTTCTTTAATTGATCTTCTTTTCTCCTTATAACCCAGTCCCCTCACATTCTAACTAATTATTTTCATAAAGAATTCACTACACCCTCCCCACTCCTACTTGTCAAACCTCAAGTATAATTGACTCCAAATAGTAAACTTCTAAGTTCCCTCATCCCTTTATTTTTTTCTTAGTTTCTCCCCTCCCCTTTTCTTTTTACCTTTCCTTTTATTGTGGACCAAAGACAAGTCAATTTTCTCTAGAATTTTTTTTTTTAGAATATGCCATTTCTCTTCATCAGAAAGGTAAAACCTATTCTCCCCTTTAACTTCCTCCTCTTCACACTCCTTACCTCTGAGATAAAAGGTAAACTCTCTTGGTAAAGGCAATCAACATCCACAATAACTTGGACTAAAGGGTCTCTAAGAACTCAATCCCCCACCACGTTTTCATTCCTAATACACACCAATGAATTACGTACCTCCTTCTATTCCACTGATATACCAGAATTGGCTAATTTTCTCACCCCATTAGAAACATTACCACCACAAATAGACAAGGGAATCCCTCCCCTCCCCTCCTAATCCCTTCCCCCACTAATAGTATTTTGTTCCCTCTTAAATAATGGTTGAACTAACTCAACAAGGAATCAATTGCTGTTTTAGGTACTATTGAATTATCGTCAGAGATAGCTACCTCATCACACTTATTATCATCTTCCTTTTCGAACTCTGAGTATTCCTTTGACCTATCTCAAACTTCATTAATATTTAAGTTATCAATACAATGACTTTGTAAATCCCTTAGAGTAAACCCATAATCCTCTTTGCCTTCTGGATATTCTTTTTGTGCTTCTTGGGACTCGATAAAATCACTCTAATGAACATCAAATGATTTTGCGCTTCGAATCGCTTCTTGTAACTCCTGTTGTAGAGGAACAACCGGTGCTTTCCCCTTCAACCACTTCTACGATGAAAATTGCTAATCCCTAGACGAGGTACCCATTTCGTGATACTCATCAGAGCACAATAGAATATTATTGATGTCTTCGAAGCTGTGTACCTCATCATTGACTCTCCTTCTCTCTTCGAACTTGGCTGATGCCTCAAATTCTTCCTTCATTTCGCATAGAAGGGTTTTACCCTCTCCCAAATTACTCGGATCCAAAGCTGACATCGATTGCATCTCCTCATCTTCTCCACCAAAAGACTTTATAGAACCCTCTAATCTTTCTCCATCTTCTCGTCTGCATTGAAGATGAGATTTACCTAATGAGAGCAAAATCGACATCTGAAGCTATAAACGGGTTTTTGGACCGAATATAATGGATCGGGGGAGCTTTAAACTTCAAAAAATCCAAAATTTTGGCTTTAAAATGGCCCACCCATAATGGGCTCTTCACATTGATATTCATTGGTATATCAAACAATCCAAAAAAGATTTGGACCCTATTAACAGGCCCAACATCATTTCCAGTATCCTTGTTTGAACCAGCAGGCACCTCGTCTATAACACGACCTACAAAATAGATGTAATTATGCGTAAGCTTCCATCCTCCTTTTTTGAATTTGAATTAAACTGATCAGCGTGGGATTGTCATTAATTGCTGAATTAACTAACCCCTTTACCATGGGATTCACCTTATTTCATACCGGCCCAAGTTTCGGAAAAGGTGAGACCTTTTCCATCCCAGAAACCTCTCCTCTTCTTTGAGATGCATGATATCTCTGTGCAACCTTTCTGTATGTAACGCCACTGAACGGAACCAGATCTATGCCATCATCTTCAACCTCTGGCCTGTTGTACAATTTTTTGGTAATACCATACAATTTTCTTAGTTTCAGATGATCACTAACATTTCCCAATCTTGAAAGAGCCCTAATTGTAATCTGGAAACTTTTCCCTTGCAATTCAACAGTTAACAATGAAAGAATGATCCCTTTTCCACATCTACCCACTTTAATTTTTGCTTGGAACAGATTTTGCATAGCCAAAGTGCCACTATCAACCTCTACAAAGCCACCTGAACAATCTCCTATCTTCTTAAAATCTTCTTCATTCCATAAATGGAATGGTAACCCTTCGCCTCCTAACCATCAACCCAGAAAAGATTTCTTGTTCCTTCCAAAATTGGACTCTGGAGACCATTTGGAGAACCTGATAGAGCCCCACTCCTTCAATTGAGACCTCCTCCACNGCAATGGAAGCAGTTCAAGCCCTACGGGATCACTTGCAGATGATTGAGTCCCAGGTGCCACTAAGTCGGTTTGTATCACCTAAAAGAGATGATGCAAAATCAGGCTTTCTACATTCTGCATCTCTCAAGTCTTTGAGTCATATGGATGTCCAGAAGTTGGATAAACAAGAGGCATCATATAGGCACAGACCAACATCATTAGAAGTCATAACAGGTATGATCCTTTATTTGATGTGAATTCCACACATACGGATAAGTTACTATATCATGCTACATATGGAATTGCTGTCTGCTGTTTTTCCACTTGAACACTTTTATGTGTATAGTTGGACTAAAAGTCTTTCGTTCTTTTCTTTTGCTTGTACTTGTATAAGGAGCTGTTGTTCTACTGAACGTTTTAACTATTTTTTCTGCTTGACCAATTGCTTGGTAGTGTACGCATATTAAATGTTTAGATTGAGTTGCATCATTTGATGCATTACATTACAGATCCTGCAAAATCAGTTTTGGTAGTAAACTTCATCTATCCATTGCTCCATGTTGGATGTTGGAGTTTTACCTTCAAGTGATATGTGAAACTCTGCAGAGTTGCGTTCTTTTGTTTGGATGCCCGAATATTGAGACCAAGTATTCTTTGTGGAGATTGGAAAATATTAACCTCAGTACCATAACCCTTGTATTCTGTGGCTTTCCTATGGTAGGCAGTTGAGACTACTCTGCCCAAACTGAGAACTAGGTAACACCCATAATATCCTGATTTCTATTAGATTCAATGGCTAGATTACATGTTAAAGTAATAGTATATTTATCATTAAAACCATTTATTTTTCATGAGTGAAGCATAGGTCTACAAAACTTTTCGATCTATGTTTTTGTGCTTGAGTTTTAAAAAACTAATGTTTGTGTATAGCCTGCCATTTAAGAAGCACGGATACTGACATGGGTGTTGTATCCGATACGATACGGATACGGCGATACGGCAAAATCCCAAAATATAGGATATGGGTACGATTAGGAAACGACTAATTAAAATAGTTATATATATATATTTATATATATAACAACAACATTAATAATAACAAACAACCAAGACATAGCAAGCACAGATGACAAGACCAAAAAAAAAAACCAGAAGGCGGCACAAAAAGCAATTTTTAGTTTTTAAAACCAGCAAGCAGAGTAGCACATTGGCACAGAAGGCAGCAACACAGATGATTAGACCAAAAAAAAATCCCGAAGGCAGCAAGCAACACAACACCTAACAAACAAAAAGAACCNCAATTTTTAAAACTAGCAAGCAGAGTAGCACATTGGCACAGAAGGCAGCAATACAGATGACTAGACCAAAAAAAAATCCGAAGGCAGCAAGCAACACAACACCTGACAAACAAAAAGAACCCTAAAGGCAGCAACACAGCAAAAAGATTGAAAACTCTAAAACCCTAAAATTCTCAAATTTTAAAAATCCTAAAACCCTAACCCAATCAAATTAACCTAATCAAATTTTTTAAAAGTCTAGACTCCACACAGACCAGAAGAGGTAAGAGCAGAAGTAGCAGATCTGAAAAAAAAAAAAAATTGAGGCAAGAAGAAGAACCTGCAAGAGACTAGGCAGTAATCGCAGGTTGCAGTCGCCACTCGCAATTGCAGTTGCAGTCGCAGTCGCAGGTTAGTCTCCTTTCCTCTTCTCTTTCCTTCTTCTCCTCCTCTGGTCCTCTCAATCATTCTCCTCTTTTTTCTCTTCTCTCTCACATACAGAATGTCGAAATGGTCGTTCACCGATGCCTTTTTCCCTTATGTTTTTTCTTTTTAAGCCAAACATCGCAGGTTGCAGTCGCCAGTCGCAGGTTAGTCTCCCTTCCTCTTCTCTTTCCTTCTTCTACTCCTCTGGTCCTCTCGATCGTTCTCCTCTTCTCTTCTCTCCTCTCTCTCTCTCTCACACACACAGAATGTCGAAATGGTCATTCACCGATGCCTTTTTCCCTTATGTTTTTTCTTTTTAAGCCAAACGTCGTATGAAACCTTTTTTTTTCGTTTTGACCCCCTAAGTTTTTAAAATAACAAAAATGCCCACCGTATCCTACCGTGTACCGCAGTTATCCGAGCCATATTCGGCCAAAAAAAATAAAAGCCACTGTTCAGGACACTTCTAAAAGTGTCGGACACGTGTATTCGTGTTGGACATGTGTCAGACACTGCCATGGCGACCACCTACCGAATATCCGTGCTTCCTAGCCTGCCATGTACACAAAAGGGGTCCAAATACTGTTTATGAAGACTTTTTTGGTAGCATAGTCAAGGATTAAACTCTCGTTTTGGTGCATTGTTTTGGTCACTAAAAAAATAGAAACTTTTCGACGTGTTTTGAAAATGTTTTGACCCGTTTTGGAAATGGAATTAAAAAAATAAAAAATGTAAGAATTATTTTTTCAAAATATTAGTCAAAATATACCAAGATATTTTGAAATATCTTAAAACATTTCAAAATAATTCTACCAATGCATTAAAATATAACGAAACATTTTAATACATTATGGAATGCCGCAAAGTAGTAGAATTTATATTTCATTACTGATTTGTTTCGGTCTCTTTGGAAATAGAAACGTTTTGGACGTTTCGACTGTTTCAAAGCGATATTTTAATCCTTGAGCATAGTATGATGGTGAAGATGGAACTGGTGCCAATAGTCACATGACCCAATGGTGCTTGTCATGATGTACACTTTGGTATGTTGTGACAGTAACTTAAAAATCCCCTTTTAATTGAATGATCAGATTTGACCCAGTGTGTACCTTGAGATGGATCCACGACAAACACACTTCAAATTTTATTAGATGGCATCTAGAAAACTTATGGAGGTGCAAATTTCATGTTGGGGCGAGATTTTCAGATGGTTGTACTCTAGGAAGCACATATATTGATACATGATATAGGTACGATATAATACGACAAAACCTAAAGAATAGGAGATGGAGCGGTTGGGATACATCTATAAAGGAATATATTTATCCCGTTGGTCTGCAGCTATCTAGTTGAGGAAGAAAGCTATTACATGATGATTGTATAATATTATAATTTTCAATAGATTCTTTAGTAACAATACAAAAAATAAGCAAATTTTAGTTTCAAAAAAGTATAGATCATCCCGTTACGTTATATCCACAAAGTGAACTTCACATTTAACTTGTTGACAAGAGATATGGTGTAATTAACTTTTTTTATTCTCTTTTGGCATTTGATTGTAGATAACTTAAGAAATACTCGTGTTTTCAAGATTTTTTTGTGTTTGTTGCATTGTATGTNTGCATTTGATAGTAGATAACTTAAGAAATACTCGTGTTTTCAAGATTTTTTTGTGTTTGTTGCATTGCATGTGAATAAGAGATGAAAGAATAAAAATAAAGATTAAAATAAAAAATATTACGTATTACTCCATCTATTTACTTCCATATCCTAAGCATATTTATTTTAGATACGTGTCCCGACGTATCTAGATATTTAATTTATTAATGGATATGTGTGGTGTGTATTCGATATATATATCTGATGGGTTTGACAAGTATCACATTCGATACAATATCTGATACGGATACATCAATCTTAACGAAGTATCCATGTTTCATAGGATGTACTTTTTCAATTGACCAACTACTTTCAAATGCTGATACAAAGCAATATGATATCTACTACTTTTTAGAAATCATTGGCAATCCTTCCTTTTTATTGTTCTTTACTTCTCATCCTGTCACCACCGGTCATATTGTTATATCTTCATTCATTTGTCTTTCGAAGACAACCAGCTTTAGCTAAAGCCGTATACCAAGGGTGCTAGATATCATATATGTATACTTACTGTGCTACGATGGCTAAGACGATCTTTTTCGTTGCTTGTTTGGTTTTTTTATTTTTTGTTGGATGATTGCTTGTTTGTTAATATTTTTGTTTGATGGTATTTTTTCATTTTCCGTGCAACCTTGGTGCAAGCGATTTGTCTTCAATATGCACCCGTACCAATTTTTAATGTTGGACCAAATTAGAAGTTTATGTTGAACTTCTCAAGGTCTTGAAAATATCCTCTTCAATGCATGCAGCGGAAAATGTTCTCATGTGTCCTCCACATGGCATTTTAGAGGGGTAAGGTTGACAAACCAATGGATGATTTGGTGACACTATTTATTCCGTTTTCTTTTGACAGGAAGAGGTAATCATTGCCAGGGACAAGCTATCCTTCCAGCAGCCATCAGAAGCTTCCTCAGTGAGAACAGGTGAAATG